CACAGTGGTGAGAACTAAATCTCGTTAAAATATTTCAACAACAGCATCGGTTTCATTCGTGGCCCTTTGACACCAAGGGGTCACCAAGGGTGAATTTCTCTTTACAAAGTTGATAAAATTTCCAGGCAGAGAAGGAATATGTTCTAATTCAGCATCAAATTCTTAGAGTTTGAATTCCATAAAAGTACTGCAGAGACAGTGGAAAATTGTTATTTATATCGCAGGAGTGAAATTATTCACAAGTTTTTTCACTCTCTCTAATTACACTGTGTACCAACGAAGTGGGATTATTGCATATTTTCGCTTGCACTCATTTATAAGGTTGTTGAATCGAGCCGAAGCTGGGACGTTAATTACTCAGGAGCAGCCTTGTCTTTCATTATACCGGAGACGAGAGAATATTTTAAATTAAAGCATTCCCTCACAATCTGGACAGAAAGTTGTTAAGTGTGGGAAATTATCAGGATTTTGTCACCGCTTTTTTTAGTGTGCGTTGAACATGTTTTGCCATTTTCAAATCATTTTGGAAAATATCTCGCTTTCCTTTTCGTGCAAAGGATATCTTATTTATTTACTTTTAATTATTCCGTTCGAGTTCTTTTAATTTGCTTGTGGTTACATTTAGAAAAACCGGTGTTTTTCGACCTTTTTTTTTCGTTACCGCAGTTAGTGAGCCGAGACGAAGTTTTCCCTGTGTGTTTCCCAAGAGTTCGAATGTAAAGTGGATGACTGATTAAATCAGTTTTGTTGCTAAAGAAGAAAAGTGTGCAGTTCGGGAGCGGAAAAAATACTTATATTACCGTGAGCTGCAAATTATCTCGTAAGTATCCAAAAACTCCAAAATGTCTTTGTATTATATCATGTGTAGTTCACCAGGGGGTATACATATCATTTCGTTATTTCTTACGTGGTAATACGTTAAAATGATTTGCAACATTTGCTTGGAAGGTAGAATGTTTGTTAAAAGTTTCTTTTTTTTTTTCAATCCGCACGTTACCAAAAGATGTCATCCATGCCAGATGGTTTTATGTAATAAAGTGCCACGTTCTTGCGATCATACCATTTCACTAAAACAAAAGGGATTTGTTCGAAAATTCGGTAAGCAAGAGGTTTGAATTTGAATTTAGATTCAATCCAAATAATAACAATTATTATAACAATCATAAAATAGATGGTTAGTTCTCGCACCGAATATATTTTTTTTTTTTTGCCCCTGCGAAAAGTTTGTTTGTTAGGAAAAAAACTTAATTAACATGTTTCATATTCATTCAGGTAGAAATAACTCGATGTGCAATAAAATATAATTTCCTATAGACTTAACAAGGTGAAGGTGCGGTCATCACGTATTTTATAGCTAACATTATCACCACATTAAAAACTAACGCTTAAAAATCGTCTAAAAACATGTCTGAAGACTGTGAGTACGTAACTTGACCTTTGTGAGTGGCAAACAAACCCTCCGAACACTCCCGATAAAACTTCGGATAAAAAGGGAGGCGGGACTTAAAAAGACAGAATCCTGCAGCGCGTTAACATGGTAATAATGATAAGTAACAATGACGATAATGTTGGTAAAATTCTAACAAGAGCACAAAGCTCCATTTCATTTCTCTTTCAAAATGACTCCTTTTTTAGTATTATTTTATGTACTATTTCCGTCAAGGCAACACCGACCCGTGAACTAGCTTCATTGAATAAAAAAGTATTCTGATTTAAGCAAAAGAGTACTTTTCCCTTGTTTACATAGCCACATCTAAACACGTTGAAAGAAATCGAGAAAGTTATGCAAATCTGAGAGGGTAAAGATTGAATTGAAGTTTAATTGAAATTACATTTAAAATTTAAGATAACTGCACGAGTTCATCCACTTGCACATACCTTACTAACAGTAATTGATGCAAGAAAAATAAGCAAAAGGAATAATATAAGCTTGGTTAATTTGAAGTGTTTTAAGAGCTCATTTTGGAGCGAAAAGGACGAAACGAACGAAACGAGAACCTTGATCTCGGAGTCGTGCCAAAAAATTTCTTTTTCCGTTTGAAAGCAGCACTTCGTAGCTCATAACGAGATAGAATCGCTCAATTCATAAGGCGTTTTACGAGAACAATTGATAAAATTGAATTTCCATACCAATAAAATTTTATCGTTCGTTTAAGGCAAGATAAAACAAAATAGATATCCTAACCATCAACACGAACAAATTCCAGGCATAAAGCGTTAGAGATGATGTTAAACATACATCAAATCTCCACCGAAAGACTCGTTGAAGTTCGCAGTAAATTAGTCATGTATTCAGTGAATGTTTGGTTATTTGTTGTAATGTTTGATTATTTTAACGACGTTACATTCAGTGACGTTCGTCTGTCTTTGTTTTGCGAATGCTGATTAACGGCCATCTATGCAGATGAAAATTATCTGTGTTGTGTTGTCAGAAAGCTGTTTTACTTTCTGTTCCACCGGCTCAGTTTGTAGCGTTGCGTTATATAAATGTTGGAGGCTTTACATATAGCGGTCAAAGATTAATGGTAAGTCTATTTATCCAGATCATGCTTTTTTACGTGGATTATTTCTAATCTTTTTTATAGTAATAATGTGGTCGGTGCAATTCCGTATTCTCGATTTGTATGACATGAACTCTCTTAGCAAATAACCTTTTTAAAGCCGTTATTTGATTGCAATCAGTTGTTTGATAGCACATATAGTTATGTTAAGCCATATATTACCGAATATTACGGTAAAAGCTTCCTACATTTACTGTCTTCGTGAAAAACGACACTTGTTAAAATTTCTGCGTTTAAATGTAAATAGTGCCGAAGCATATTCCCACAGATACCCTTTTTTGTTTTAGTTGATTTTTCCCTCTTCAGGTTGATTAAAACAGATGAAGTAACTTTTGCTCGATTGTTTTCACGTTCTATGGTAGTCAAATATCAAGACCTGTTCGTGTGGAGACAATCTCTTGCTTATTTGCATATCGTTTTGACTTAGTATGGTTACCATGTAAATCATTGATAAATGTTGCCAAAGCGTCTTCCGAACAATCTGCGTACAAAGATCAAATGCTTAACCATAAAGTATTTTATCCTCACGCGTACAAGAGAAATAGATCGAAATCATTTAGAGACCTGACAGCGGTTCAAATCCTAAGTTTTTTTGATAATCTTGTTTTTATCTACCATTAATTAGCAACAGAAGCTAGACCTGTTTATGATATTTTAAGAGGTAATGAGCTTCAACGTGTTTATGATCCTCATTTGCAGAAAAGAGAAAAAAAATAGAAGCGGAGCTCTGTATACAAGAAGATATTCTATCCCAGTAGACCCTGATGGGGTTACCTGCGGAAGTTCCCACGCTAAACTGTTGTTCACATTCGCGAAAAGCTGGAACATTTGGGCTTGGGTAAATCGATAAATAATCGAAGCGATAGAAATTTAATTTATATGCCATTGCATTTATTGCATCAGTTGGTAAACAGTCCACTGTTAATTCGGAGTCGATAAGTGCAAGGAAATTTTAACTCTCGTAGTCTACAAATCAAACCACGTAAACATACTTGTAACCTTTAGATACGCTCTCTTCTCAGTATTTATGGAGCCTCATCTGAACTCTCGATGAAATGAAAGCACCGTCAACTGCGTCTCAGGTTTGCACAATCGTCTCGAATTCTACCAAATTCCCTGAGTTAAGAAAAATAAATCAATGTCTAATCGCTCTAATGCTGTGTAACAGCTTATATAACTTAAGAATTCCCTTTGTGGCCCCGAGAGATGCTCGCAGCCTTCTCGTGCGTTTTAGAAGAAACTTTTGCATGATTTTGTACAAGGCATATGAAAAGACGATCCGCATTTTAACGTTGATTAAAATGATTAAAGGCGAAATTCAAAGAGAAAGTTTTAAAATGTTGCATTATGGGGAAGACACGGACAAGTCGCAATGAAAGTTCACCTCGTTTGTTATGGAAATTTTCCGGATAATCTTTGCCCTCGAGATACAGTTTTGTTACTGAAACAAGTCGCTCAAATCTAATTGGTTTGCAAATGTGCAATGACCGCAGAATTAGAAACGGTGTCAGCGTCTTTCTGGCTAGGGTCATAAATTGAAGTTTTTGCCAGCCTGGAGTATTTTTAGTTACGGAAATATTAATTTAAACTCGTATACTTAATTATACAAACCCAACATGATTTCACTTTCAAATGGAAACATTGTATAACATGAATTAAAAACCAACAATTAAACCCATCTTTTTTTAGTTATTTTGATTTATGGACAGTAAGATCCGCTGGGAGGCTTTAGTTTACTCAATATTCCCTAGGAATCACTTGTTTTTTCCGATGTTACATAAAAACAGTATGAAAATTCCATTTTCGTTGACTTCTAGTTTTCGTGTTGCTAGCTGTTACTGAATTGAATAGGGAGGATAAAAACTTCCAAATTCTCAGCTTGATATTGGTTTTTGGCGCCGACGATTGAAACTGAAAAAGCTGTCAATGATTAGTTGAGCGCTGATTCAATTTTTGCTGGAGCAGCTGTTTTCCAATCATTTGACCAGACTACTGTAAGGTTTTCTTTATCAATTGCAGAATGTCATTATTATTTTTCTCATATTGAAGGTGGTCTGAAGGTTTATAGAACCACGGTTTTCGTGAACTTCTTGTTGCATTAATTCGGTGCATGTTAAAATGGATTCAATAGCGAGAAATGCTTTGTTGTATAGATTAAAAAAACCTCCCGGGCTTGGGCTCCTTGGGTTTCTTTAAAAGTTTACAAAAAGCTCAAGTTTTCATTCATCTTTAACACAAAATTACCGTTACATATAAAAACCCGTCTAACAAATCCCTGTATGGGTGGTGGGTCGGTGAAAATCATTTACTTGTAAAATTACCCCGAATGTTTTTATACCGCTCGCTCCTGCATAAATTATTGTAAATCCATTTCCCCAGGTCACGCCGGTGCCATTTAACCCTCACGTTCTTTTGACACTTCCTCTTAAAACCTGACAGGTCTTCATCTCGATTTGTCGCAATCACAGGAAGTTGGGCAGGTGTACTTCACAAATCTGTATAGTTCAAGGCAGAAGACTTCAGACTTGGTTAGTATTTGATGATTCCCTTGTTCAATTCACACAAAAAAAAATTCACGACATTTTGATCTTTATGTGTGAGTACTCAGTAAGAGAGGAATGCTCCTCTTGTTAGATGACAGATTTTCAAAGAGACGGGCATGCTTAAAAACAGTCTGAGAAATGTCGTGTCTAGCTTTTATGATAAGCATAACGTGACTTACGCCTAGTGTTTGGTTTGGTTTTTGCTCCGCCAGTATATTGTTCAAGGTTTAGGACTTTAGAGACCGTAACCTTGGAAATTTGTTTCACTTTTGTTCTTCCTCGTGTGTATGTTTTGACTTTATTTACTTTGTGTGATGCGAACAAACATAGAAAGCAAAGGTTTGGTAATATTATCTGCGAATTAACGACAAGTGTTTCCTAGAAACATGAATGGATACGTACATTTTTACCAAAGGATTTTAATTTTATACTTGAACTCTCATCACAGACGTTTTACGGGAGTCATTTTGTTGTTCCGTAAAATTTTCCTTCCAATAATCATCAGTTGGATGATATATATGAATATGCGTTTATTTTCAATACGAAATTTTTTTTTGTTTGATTTGACGACTGGGAATTAATGTCTACAGATAGACTCATTTGCAAATTTTCCGTTTTTCATAGCATGCCTGTGTAAGATTTGAATATTTTAGTTGTAATGTCAAGTGTAGTTACAAAGGAGTGTCGTTTTTAAGAAGCAATTTCTTTAACTTTATCACAACAAGGAATCTTTCTTGTATAAAGCCTTTTAGAATTCCTTTCGGTTGTCAAATGCTACTTAAAAACGCCTGCTATATCACACAGAAGCGCGGTCTTTTTAGCTGACGATTATTTTGCTCGTCGCCAAAGTTTCTGCTTCCTTCAAGGGAAGGTCACTTGGGCAATTTTGATGCGCTAATTTTCATTTAGAGACCTCCATAAACACGAACACGAGGAAGGTACTAGCCTAGTGTATCTTTTCTATCGCGCTTTAAAGGAAGCAAAAAACCGTATGAAGGCAAAGGCAAACGTTACCAGCAACGCAGACTTTTTTAATCAACAGCGTAAACAATAAAAGAGCGTTTGGCATAGGAAGCAATTCAAGAATTAAACTTTGGAAGAAGGATAGTAATCGCCGAGATTAGAGTCGAGATGAGAGTTTTACTTGAGAGTGGAGATAATTTTTCGCTCTGAAATCCACACAACATTTGTTAACGCACTATTCGGAAAGCAGGGTGAAGGATGATTGAGATTGAGATTAACCGGAACTATCACAGAATTTCAGTCAGTAGCTTTTGCGTTCGAGGAAAATCCTTTAATGGTTTGAAATTTGGTAAGTTTCCCAGGGCGCGGGACGGTCCATGAAACTGGCCAATCGCAAGAGTGGTTAAAAGGTGACGAGAATGAGCACAAATATTTATTAGGAAAGTGTTAGGTCCTGAGTAAAGGAAACGTCTGAAGGAGGAAGGAGGAAGTAGTGCAAGATATTAAGTTTGTTTTTCTTTTCCATCGTTTATTATTGCTTTCGTATTTATTGATATGAAGTTTTCCTAGATGCTATCCTTGAGCCTATCCTTCGACCAAATTCAATTTTCCATGATCCATTTATCTTCGTTTAATGCAAACACGAAGACAGTACTACTTCCTTTAATTACAGTTTTCTAAAGAAATCCCTTTTTGGTTTGTCCTTTTTAGTGTAAAATTTCGATTTGAGAAAGATCCCGTACAATCTTCACCGGTAGGCGGCGTTGTGGGGGTTCCTATCAGTTGGAATCGTTAATTAAAAGGAGGCTTAGTCCTCGTAAAGGGCTCTTTATCAGTGACAATCAGCTAGCAAATTCTTAATGAAATATAAGGATTAAGTTGTCTGCAAACGTTTGCTAGAAGCTACCATACTATTGAAATAATCGAAAGATGTTCAACATTCATTTTGTCTCGAGCGCGAGGAAAAAGATCTTTGAGTCCGTCGCAGGATACGAACCAGGTCTGATTTTGCAGTCGGCTTCTCATGATTGAGCCACAGGGTTCCCACTAGCGAGCTTGGCTATGCACTACAGCAGATTCACGTGTGTAAATTGCTTTCCAGTTTTTGTTTATTTTCTGTGAATGATTCACTTGTATCCAGCATAAAGCAACTGTTGAGGGTGTGAGGTTGTCAATCACATTGGATATCCTGATCTCCCTTCTTTTCGTTTGTTTGATTTTTGCTTATTTCAGTGTTTGGTTTCTGTTCGTGTGCTTGTTTGTTTTTGTTTTTGTTTCGTTTAAACACAACAAGGAGATTGTAGTGTAAGTGATTATATGAAGTAAATCCTCAAAAAAAATGTAGTCTTCGAAGCGGCTCCCTGACACCATTAGCAATAGAACCTATCACAGGTGAAATACGATTTCTCCGACATTTTATTTTAAATATACTTTGAGGTTAAGTGCTACGTTGAAATAATGAATTTTGTTCCTGAAAATGTTTTGGCCCCAACATGTGGCTTTGTAGCTCAGTAAGAAGAAACGCCCAAACAATACCTGGTATGAGGCATGGATAAATTTTTTGTGCAAGTTTTACCCCTTAATTGTGGTTTTATCTTCCGCGATTGCATTTTTCAACTTTCTTGTTAGGATAAATTTGTCATTTATCATTCAGAAGTCAAGTAGATGACTTACTTCATATATTATTGATGACGTTTACGTCTAGAGAATGGCTATGGGGTTCTCGGTGACGGTGACTTTATCTCCTTTTGGAAGCAATTGTCTGAAACTGCAATTCGTGTGTTTAATGCAGTCTCATGTGTCATGCATTTGGAGGGTGATATAAAACATTTCCTAATTACGCCTGTGGGAATCAGTTTAACGTGCTCTGTCGGTAAGATAAGTTTAAATAAACCAAATTTTAAAGCTTTCTTTAATTTGTAAGTGCGTATTTTACCGCGTAATTGCATAGCTCTAAAAACCTGAAACGTAACAAATCTCGGAAGAGATTTTGGCTGTATGCATAAACAGGAACACTACATTGTTATTCACTGCGATCATATTATCTTTTCCTGTCCACGAGGCTGATAAATGCAGTATAATCGATCGTGGTGGAGAATAGGTGTTCCATGATGCAATTAGTGTAATTCAATTTTTTTTTTTAGACTTGTCTCACTGTATTTTTTCTCCCTTTTCAGAAGGTCCTGAAAATTAACGCGTCGCCTGAAGAAATACTCAGCGATGGCCCAAAGAGCGGTAAAATAAACACCGGATGCATTTGATAATTCAAACTACTTTGTTGTAGCAAGAAAACCGGATAACTTGTATTTGCGACCTAGCCTTGTTTTCTGCGGAATTGAGGACGTTTTTGCAAGCATCATCGACAGATACATTAGCAGACACGTTATCATCTCTTGAATGAAGCAAATTTAACCGACGCATATCTAGTAAACCGCACTTGATTCGAAAGCCTGAAACACTTCTGCCTGTCAGAGATACGAGAACAATCATGACACGAAAACGAACTACACTCGCGCATAAGATTTCCCTAGTCTTACTACTGATGCTTGTGTCTAGAGCTGAAGCAAACTATACTCTGGGCTTGCTTATTCCTATGACTGATGCGGATTACCCAGAGAATGGGCAATATTATGCTTCCGCGATGAGTATTGCGGTGGATGCTGTAAACAGACAGCAGAACCTCTTACCAGGTCATAACATTTCTTTTATTTGGAACGACACTGCGTGCTGGAAGGAAGATACGACCATTCGTGGGTTGTTGCACCAGATGTACGAAGCTAACGTTGCAGCGATTATTGGACCGGCTTGTTTGTGTAATACTTCTGCCCGTATTGCGGCTTCCTTTGACCTTCCCATGATTTCTTACGTAAGTACACATTTTGAGTTTATTCGTTTAGTCAAGTGTATGAATAGGCACGGTCCTTTATTGTTTGCCTTTCTCAAGCTTTGTATTTTCAACCAATGTGGGTTTTTATCAAGGAAAATCAACTGAAACAGTTTCATTTTTCTCACCTATGTTTGTAACACCTTTTCCGTAATGAAATTCTTCTTAGTTAATTTATCGTTTTCATATTAGCATGTTCAAGGAAAATCGTAAGAGGTTTACATCCCGCGGTAAATTTAGACCGCAACACCTGGTTTTAATCAGTGAAGAAACTCCTAAATTTTTTAATAACGGAAATCTCTTCTCCTTTGCTATCCTTGAACCATAACCCTGAATGCACTGAACTCTTGGTTCAATCGAATTTTTCTCGCAGATGGCCTCGCCTTTTTTCCTTGGTACTTTATTTTATTTTTTTTTTCGGTTTCCTCGACATTTGATAATATTCTTACTATTTTGGCCCTCATCGTTGGGTATCGCTTCAGGGTGCCAATAAGCCAAAGCTCTCACGCCTTTTGAAAGGCTTGCCACAAACTCCAAAGGTTACATTGTCTGTGTTTTTAGGCTCAGCATGTTGCGTTTGATTAGTTTTTCTCCATTTGGAATAACCGCAACTGTTTGTTAGGTACATAAAATTAATCAATCTAGCTTAAATTGATATAACCACTGTATCGAAATCACTGTTTAACTGTAACCCGAAAGAGAGGAAATTTTCGGTTTCCGCCAATGCTGATCGGGAAACCTGAAAAAGGAAACCTAGGGGGCATCGATTGTGAAATTTTTAAATGAAATAAAGTTGAGAATTTATGAAAGCGCATCAGGTGAGGGGAGAAATACAAAAGCTCTCCGACTGTCCAATAGAAAGAACGTATGAATAGTGGTTAGATGTGACTTAATATTTTTTCTCTGCCATAAATATTAACATTGCATTGTCTTTGATTTCGTATTCATACTGCAAATGAAAGTCGGCCCCATTTCAAACTTTATTTCCGTTCACCCCAAAACTTTTCCTTTTTTCGTGACTTCAACATAATTAAAGCTGAATTTTATTTCGGGACGGATTCATGTTTTTGTCATTGTGCACATATTTTTCCGGCTCTTTCTATGGAAGATACAAAGAGAGGTTTATGGTGATGTTTAATTCAAGTTTGGGCAGAAAGGAGTCTAGCCTCCTGCAGCGATCACGGGGAAGAGTTATGAATAATATTATTAATGTGAAGTTCATCAAAACAAGTTGTTTGTCATCATGTTTCAACCATCTGCTCTTTTTAAAGAAAAGAAAAATTTTTGTTACACTCTATTTCAAACATAGCGACATCAGTACATTGTTATTACTCATTATTGCCTCAATGAGTGAAGATTTAAGTTATCAGGTGCTCCTCGAGATTCAATTGGAATCGTGGCCACTAAATTAATGCTTCAATTATCTTTCTGAGAGGTGAAATTGGAATTCATTTCATCAGTTAAAATGAAAGGGCCTGCATAAGAATTTTGACGCTGCCCTGAACGATTATCAGCAGGTGATTACATGTCTTTAAAAATCTAGTACAACCAATTTTTTTTTTTTTGGGGGGGGGAGCTCCTTTCCTAAACTTGGACCTTCCAACTGTCCTCAGAAACTTAAGACGGTAAAGAAAGACATCGCGTCAGGCTTCCCTCACACGGGGTGAGGGAGGGGGTGGGGAAGGTTTTCTTATCTCGAAATCGTTGGAGTGTATAATTAGCCCTCTCTAGGGTCCGTTATCTTGAGATGCAGTCGGATAGTTCTAGAAAAAAGTAATCGGGACAGTCTGCGTGTGCAGAGTGGCTTATGGACTTTGTACAGGGGGTGAGTGTCCGATAGCAGACCTACAAAGGAGTACTTTGCATATCCTTTCTCGTGGTTTGTGATGTAAAGACTTGTTCCTTCTAAAAAAAAGGGAGTGAATGAAAGAAAAGAAAAACCTGTTCAGGCCACCGTGTTTACAAATCATTTCATCCAATCATGACTATTTTCTTCTTGATTATCTCAGTTATGTAGCAGTCCGGAACTTTTAAACAAGGAGCTTTACTCTACGTTTGTAAGAACGTACACCCAAACTACTAAACTTGCCGAGAGCGTTTGGTTGTTACTTAAGGAGTTCAATTGGTACAAAGTGGGTATTGCGTTCGAGCGACTTCCTCCTTGGAGTAACAGAAAGGACGATATTGTAAAGTTTCTTAAGATGAGAGGGGTTGAGATCCGAATTGAGAGAGAGATTCCAGATGAGGTTCAAGAACGTGAGAATCATCCGGCTAAAATCAGACAGCTCATGGAAGAAATGAAACCGCAAGCGCGCAGTAAGTGTTTTTGGTTACGAGGAAGATTTAACAAACGCATCGGGTGATGGTGGGTTGATGCTAATTGTGTGCCGAGAGTTGAGGGGTGGGGATTGCAGGTTTTGGATACATGGTCATTTAGAGCTTGTTTTCAGTCAAAAGGGGCTTCATGGAAGAGGTCCTTTCAGCTCAGAATTGTTTTCTTTATTCCATGCTTGTGATAAGGCCAAAAGAGATATTTCTTCAAACAGAAACTTGGGAATTATGACGTCATCTATGCATCTGTCCTCCGATAGACCAAAAATAAGAACCAATCATAATGCGTGGGTAATATTACATAAATATTTAACAATTATTCCTTGAGCGCGCGTTGGCTATAACCAACTTCGTATCTTACAAGCGCGAATGGAATAATTTTTTTACTAATTTCGTGAAAATCTCGAACGTCTGGATATTTGGCGCTTCTTTTCAGCTCCGCAACAGTTGGCGCGATGCATTTCCATACAAGGTGATTAAGAATATGAGTGAACCAGTATGAGTGAACCAATCAGAACACTAGATATGCATTATTTGCAGTTGGAAATTTAATTAAAGTAGATATTCATATTATTCCTTTTTTTGTAGTAATTATCATTGCTGCTAATTTCTACACTGCCCGTCAGATGATTCTTCCTGCTTACGAGCTCGGGTTCACCAATGGTGACTATGCGTTTATCACGTTCGAACTGGATTACAATGCAGTCTTACGCGGACAGGCTTCCCCTCATTCTTGGTTCCTCGTCCGTACGGATGGGACCGATAGGTTCCGATGCAAGATTCAGGAAGGGTTTGAATCTGTGCTAACGCTTGCACTGGACGTCGACGAAAACAGAGGAGCCTTCGACATTTTTCAGACCGACGTCAAGAAACGTTCGCCTGAAGTGCCTTTTCCTAACAGTTCCGCCTACCAAGGATATATTTTTGACAATCCCTCCTTTTTACCACGTAACACAACCACGGTAAGTATCCGATTTTTATTTCTAACAGACAGAGCTGAAAAGCGTCCGCGTTTATGATGGAATTCGTCTGGTTTCAGAAGTTTTTTGTGCTATTATTTGCACTTGAAGCACTACCTGGCCGATGTTTGTGTTCTACGATAAACGTCTCCAAAAGATATCTCATAACCTAGTCCACTGACTGTCTGTGAAGAAATCTTAAGATATAACTCATCCGCGTACGTCTTCACCACAGCTTACGCGAAGCAAAAAATGTCGCCGTATGTAATTTTTCTGAGACTCTGGCATTTTTCTATATTGTTTCTAGTCTTCCTGCTTGTTTCCGTGAAAATTTAGGGTAAGCGCTGACGTATTTCAGTCGTTTCTTTCTTCGAGCCTCTTTCTGAAGTTTATCCAGATTTCCTCGCTCCTTTTCAAAAATAGTATTCCAAATACCATTGCGACCTAGAAATGGTGTTCAAGGGAAGCTTTCTTGTGGAGTGTCAACTGTTGAAAACAATTTTTTTCAATTTAGTTGTTTATAAAGTGCTGTATTTAGCACGGAAAGGAGGTAATTCCTCTCGCGAACGCGAATGTTAACTCTTAATTTCATAAGGTTATTAATCTACCTCATAAGCTGTCCCTCAGCAGAACTATTTTACTTTTTCTTGAAAATCGTCATTAGCCTTTTTTCACTCCACTGTGTAATCTGACTGAAACAGTTTTGGGATTAATGCCTTCAATTTCAATCTGCAGCCACCAATGTATGCAGCCTTCCTTTACGATGCAGTCTACCAGTATGCCATCGCATTGAACGAGACAATAGCTCGGAACGAGAAACCAAACGGGAAAAACATCATTTCCAAGCTACTGAACAGGGAATACGACAGTAAGTAGTGTGAAGTTACTCCACATTGGATGAAAAGCTTGAAGGGTTTAGATCATATGTACCTTAGAACCTCTCCACCATTTAGGTAAGTCCTTGATCGTGAAACAGAACAATTTTTTTTATTTTTCACTGACCACACTTTAAAGTTGAGCAGTGCTAACCATAAGCTTCGCTAAATCCTCAGCTCGACTTTCTATTCTCGTTACTCGCCGTAAAGATCTTTTTTCTACTCCTTTGGCAGGTATCGGTGGTCAGCGAGTTTTCATTGACAAGAATGGAGCTGCTGAAGTTGACCTGGTCCTTTTTGACATGCGCTGGGAATTCACAAGTACGTTGATATTAGACTTATTTCATGATCGACTGAAGCAGGTTGTGTAAACTTATGAGAGGGGTCATGCATCATTGAAGTAGTTATATGGCATTTCTGATTAAAAGTTTTTCTTACCTTCGCTCTCATGCTATTTCAACTCACGTCCTCTTGTTTTAAGATTCTGTTTAGAGTCCTGAACTTAACCGTATGAAAAAAATATGGGAAAATTTCAAATACTAATTTAGAGAAGTGCCCGTTACATTTGATTCAGCATAGTCGCACTTTTCTTCATTGCACATCTTGGCGATCAGCTTATACATTGAGAAATTACGCAAACGCAAAAAAGGTTGCTCTTAAGAATCTCGAAACGTTGTCAGTTTCATTATTTTTCAGTTTCGGTTATTTTAAAAAAAATTTATCCGCCGACGATTGCTTCGTTTCTTGAGACAATAAATGATTCATGCAGATTTTCTCGGCTATCACAGGAGAAAATTGCCCAAATAATGCCTCTAACACTGCAACCATGGTACCGGTCGGATACTTTAGGGTCACCTATACCAACAGCAGCGAAGTCAGCTTTTCCTTCAAGCTCTCACAGAATGAAAAGATCGAATGGCCAGGAGGTTCTCCGCCTGAGGATAGCCCAAAGTGCGGTTTTGATAATGATAAATGTAACCCCCCGGATTCTCCTGTTGGTGAAAGTGGTATGACAATTTATTACATGACTGGCTCTGCGATTCCAATCTTTCCTACTTGGGAGACACGCGTGGAACAAGGGAAATATGAATCCAAACAAATAATGTTACCTTTTAGCCTTAGGATAAAATATTTTTGTCCGAGCTGAGCTAGATATTGATATCGCTTTTTGTTACGTGTCGTAAAACTCCGCTTCGTCTTGGCCCCTAATACGAGGCGACCTCACGCTGGGTGGTTGGTCCTTAAACACTCGGATACCTTGGGATCGATTTATACCTTCCCTAAAAATGAAAAAAAAAAAGAATGTCATCCGGCATCGATCCGTTTTTAAAGGTGGATTGAAAATGTGTTTTGATGCATTATGGTTGAGATAACCAAACTTTTCTCAATGAGTTTGAAACGCCGTTATCCGGGTGGTAGTACGCTGAACTCCGGTTCGAGAAGTCCGCAGTGCCGCTCCGACTGAAGTGAATTGGTATGACGCGTCACTCGTCGAGCGCCCCTCTTTACCCAGGATTAATGCATGCAGATAGCAGCCATGTGTGTTACCTTACAATGCTAGAGGAATTTATGGTACCTTCATGCTGCTGACATCGAGATATAAAGAATTTACCGAAGTTAAGTAGGACTTGTGCGTTTATCTCGTATTTCTAATTTTTTATTTGTTCCTTTAGTGAAAATGGCGATCATCGCTGGAATATCTGGCTTTGCTGGTCTTCTCATTCTCCTGTTTGGCGTCAGCAGGATAAGGTTGGTTTCGCTGGTTATTAAATGTTTTTCACCTTGTGATAAGGTTAAAACAACCATGTCTCTATACTGCAAAACGAAAATTATTTCCAAATGTGCGGAACACTCGACTATTGACATCGCAGTTTTGGATCTTGCTCAGCAGCCTGGCCTCACATCTCTGACGTAAGGAAGTTTCAATCCTCTCCCTCTTCCAATTAGGAGCTACGCTAATCGACATTACTGATAATGACGATTTTTCTTTTTGATCTTGCGAAAAACAGAGCAGTAGTTTGCAATCCGCGTAAAAAGTTTTAACGCGTGGTGCAATTCGTCGAGTTGTTTTCAATTGGTGGCGTTTAAATATGATGTATTTGAGAACAATTTTAACCGCGGTCTGGTTGCTTGCTGTGCACCGGTTAGGTTCTCTTTAAGATGATTCTGGTAGTCATATGTGGTTTATTTTCCTCAGACAAATTAGGTTGGAGAAAGAGCTGAAGAGTTTACTTTGGAAAATAAATTATGAGGAAATTGCCCTTAAAAGATCACATACAGGTCCAGCCGCGTTTACAGATGATGAACACTTTGATTTACCCAAAGACACGGAGGTACATGTGTTTTTTCAATTTTTATAATGGTGATGACCGCTTAGACGAAGATGTTCACGATGGTACTAATAACAAAAACTGACAATGGGAATGACGATTACATGGCTATAACGATGGCACTGATCATGACGAAGGGGATTATGATGTCATGAGAGCACAGGACAGGTCGTGATATATCGCCGGGGGGGAGGAGTCGGGGAGTTTTGGTTCCGTCACAATAATATTTACCTGGTCCCCCTTAAGGCTCTGCAATATTTTCATGATTTCCGCTCACTGGCAGTTAATTGGCAGTCAAGTTGACTTAAATTTTAAACAAGCGATGAGGTATAGGAATTAATGTGACTTACTCTTAAAATGGTCAAGGGCTCATTTTAAAACATTTTTTTTTTAGGAATACACATCAATTGATCCATAGTACTGTTGACTCATAATTTTCGTTCTGACTCTGTTACAGGAAACGGAAGCACCATTGCTGATGGATTCATTCATGAATGGTGACATTATTGGCGACTCCACCCGTTTTGGATTTTTTAAGGTTAGGTTTTAGAAGTAGTCAGGTGCTTTACCTGTAGATAAAGTCATGTCATATTTTTTTCTAATGTTCTCTGCCTTAAACGAATATGGAAGCGATCCTCGCAGTTATGAATACTTCTTGGGTAGTCGTGAAAATGAGGCTCGTACGGGATTTGAACTCATGACCTCTGCGATACCCGTGCAGCGCTCTACCAACTGAGCCAACAAGCCAACTGGGAGCTGGTCATTAGGTTGGTTCCAAATAAACCCTCGAAGTGGAGAATAAATGACTGTAAATATTAGAAAATCATATATATGAACTGCGGTTGAAGAAACTATGCCTAACTTTTTTCGCACCAGGGAACCTCAGTTGTTGTTAAGCGAGTTGGGACAAAACATGTTGACTTGACACGTTCAGTGCTCTTAGAAATGAAACAGGTAAATTGAGTTTCTATTGATACCACTGCCCACTTATTTGTCATTCGCTTGTTGTGTTATTCAAATATTTATCATAAGTAGTCGATTATTAATGTTATAGTCTCTTATGAATTTTATTCCCTTTTTTTTTTTGCACGCAGATGCTTGATATCCGTCACGATAACCTTTCGCACTTTATTGGTGCTACCGCTGATCCTCCGAATATTTGCATCGTGTCTGAATTCTACTCTCGTGGGAGTCTTCAGGTAAGTGTCCAATATCGGACGGTTGCCTTTAGCTTACTCAGTGATAACATCTTGGGCTTGCCAATCTGGTTCTTTGTATAGTTTAGCAATTGAAAAGGTTATTGTGAAGGTCTCACATGATCCTAAATTGCTACTATTTTTGTGGGAGTATTGAGATTTTACTGTGCCATAAATATATTATGATTATTAATATTATTACTATCACCAAATTTTAAGCTTTAATCAAATAGATACGAATTGGTCAAAAGAAAACCGCAAATCGTATTTCTCCGTAGTCGTGCTTGCTTCTATGCTGTTATTGTGCTTCTTCGAGTTTGATGTCTTCTTACGCTTTATTTCTGCTAGGAAATCCTGGAGAATAAAGATGTAAAATTGGATCACATGTTCATCTGTTCACTTGTTAATGACATCGCGAAGGTAATCAAGATCGATAACTTAGTGTTTGCGCCGTAACCACAACCACGAAAATCGCCAAAACCTGTTTCGAAAAACTACTGGCACTGGACAATAATTTCCGAAGATAGCCGAATGTTACGGACTAAAACTAACACTTGCCTACTTACACCACCATGACAAAACCCATTATCCTTTAACCCTCAGAAGTGATTATACATATATCTTCTCCCCGTAATCTCCACACATTATCCAGCCAACATGTAATGAGAATACTAAAAACTTATCAGGTAGAAGTTAGTAGTCTTGATTTAACACCAAATTCTCGTGACTTGTTTACAAGGAAATGTGTAGTAGCCAGAGGGGAGAATTAACAATCAGATCTTGGGAGTTAAAGGGTTATGAGACTATAGCCGCACAAAAATGAAATATTAAAGAATTTTGTCGGTAAACTCGATTACTGGTTGTGTAATCCTCTCAGAAAGAAATTTCGTCGGTGGCTCCGACTGAAGTTTTGACAAACTGATGGGAAGTCATCGTTAGTAAAAGATTATTCCACGGGCGCACGTTGGGTATGCCGGACGATAGACGGGCCGAGTTGGCTATAATTATCTTATATCCAACAAGCGCGATTGGCATAATTGTTTTATTAAAAATGCCCCAAAATATTCATAAATCTTCCCCACTTTATTTTGTAAACTTCATTTGTTTGACGCGTACAATTACCATATTTGTAGAGAATGGTATAACGGCTCATAACCAATGATGGCTAAGCCGATGGAAACTCTTGAATTGCATCATCTAATGAGCCAATTTTAAATAAAATGAGAAATCACCAATCCATCGACCTGTTAGCGACTTTTGCCCCCCATCGTCTTTCACTGCTGCCGACAACATCTCGTGTTGTAAAACCATATACGATAACATTTGGCTCTTGTTTTTTGTAGGGAATGGGTCATCTTCATTGCACGGACATCAAGTCGCATGGAAGTCTCAAGTCTTCCAATTGTTTAGTGGATAGCCGTTGGGTACTAAAAATTGCAGACTACGGACTTCCGACCTTTCGTTCGAAACTAACGAAAACTTTTAAATACACTGAATCTTATTACGAAGGTAGGTAGGAATCTCAGCTTTTTAAGCTGGAATATGCGAAGTTAGTTTATGTGCGTTGTGACGCATGTAAGTATACAGAGGTACAAA